GAAAGGATAAATGAAAAACAGAGTCTAGAGGCAAAAGTGCGGATGCAACAGGAGAGTTTGAGGGCTTTGACAGTGGGAATAGCATCTCTCACTCCTCATAGAGTTTTGGGAATTCCTAAAGTGTCGATATTATCAGAGGTAAGCATAGAAACTGAACAGTCCCGAGCTGAAAGAAGGCTTTCAAGGAGGCTCTCGAGAAAAATGTCTCGGAGGGGAACAGAACTGGCAAAGAGAGCATTAGAGTTCTTAAAAATCCAACAGCCAGGAGAAGGCAGAATAATCAAGGAAAGCGAGCTTAATGAAATTTCGGAGTCAGATTTGAATTCTGACGAAGAGTGGGATGACCTGTGCTCTGAATTATCACAACAACGAGAAGAGATGGAAAAGATGGAAGCTAATCTTAAGGAAGAGAGAGATAGACGGTGCTGGATGGAAAGGCATGTAGAAGCTTCAGTGAAAGAAGCTGAAAGGCTAAGGTCTGAAGTTAAGCAAACAAATACTAGAATTGTCAATCTTGCCATAGAAAAGAAAAACAAGGAAAAAAACCTTCAGATTGCTGAAGAGCAGATTCGTAAGCTTGACAGGCAGCTTGAGAGCATGGAATTGACTCTCGAGAAGAAGAATGCAGAGATTGCTATTCTTAACAATATTATTATTAGGAATCTAGAAAGGCAAGCTCACTGTGCTTCAACATGTAAACAACTTCTAACAACAGGTGCCAAGTTGCTAGAGGACGGTATGGTCCAGGAAATGAACGTAGTAGGTAGCAAAGTATCTATTTTAATGGAAACTGTAAGGCTGCTCAGGAACAAGGTGACAAAGGCAGGTATGGAAATAAGAAGTTGGAAGCTGAAAATGAAAGCGGCAGATGGTCAGAATGCAGCTATGTTAGCCGAGATGAAAACCCTGAAGAGCGAACTTGAGTCAAGTAGCGCGGATAACATAAGCCTTGATTTCAAGCTTCAAAAGGAGGAGCAGTGTAGAGCAAAAGCGGAAGAAGAGCTAAACAGGGTACTTAAGGCGTCGGCTGATTTGAAACTCGACCAAGTGGTTCTTGAAGTGCACCTCGAGTCTTCCTTAAACAAAATCATGCAGTTAGAGATGAAAAATTACAAAAGTGAGGCGAAGCTGGAGGAATGTGATCGAAATCTAAATGTACTGCAAAATCAGAAAGAGAAAGAAGATGCAATTCGTGGAATTTTGCAGTCAGAGGTCGATGCCTTGCGGCTGGAGGTGGAAGGACTAAGACGTCAGCTTTTGGTTACTTAGTTGAACCTTCCGAAATAGTAGTAAAGTGGTAAAACTCTCAACTTTAGGATCCCATTATTGCATTGACCATCAAGAAATTTCTTGTCTCCTGTCTGCTCGCTTAAGTTTATAGAAGCCACCTTCCTTTTCTCAAGAATATACCTTTGTCTGTTATTAGGTCAGACCATGGTTGGTAGTAGCGCATCCACGAGTGTTATAAACGAAGCAGCCTGGATGCACCATGGCAGTTCATCGCCAGCATGTAAATCTGGTATTGCTGAGACAGTAAATACCGGCGATCTTATTGGGTCGCTGGAGAATATGCGCAAAGAGAATGAGGATCTTCGTGCTACTCTAGATACGTACAAGAAAATTCTTAACGATTCGGGTAGGAAGGGCATCGCCAATTTTTCCGATTGCCCTTCTAATGTAAATTTCTTACTTTTGCCCGAGTTTTCTATTTTAATCTCATGTGTTTCAGCTCTATGAACAATTAAGAGACAGAGTGGAGTCAGTTTCCTTCCTTCAAAAGTTGGAAGAGATAAAATCAACTGAAGATGCCGTTACCTCAATTGATCTACCACTTGCTGGTAATTCTTTCCTCATTTTAGATGCTACAACTGGTTGTAAGAATGCAGAGGATGATCTCGTAACAGCTGGCATTGATGATCCAAGATGGTGGGTGTGGGTGTCGACTGACCTTTTTGGAGCTGCCAATGAGGATGCTGTGGAGGGAGATATACACTAGTGAATGAAACGACATATTGAAGGAT